ACCTCTCATTACTCTACCCACCACTCCACACTACTCACCCTCTCACTACTTTAACTAAACATAAATAAATGGAAAGAAGAATAAATAACGGAGACAGTGAATATTACTGTTCTACTCAAACACAGTTTATTATTAAGTCTTTGTACAATAATATATTTGGGAACAGGAGAACATTATTGTGGTTTAGACAATGTGTGGTACATATAAGCAGTGAGACAGGGAACACAATCAACTTGACGAAAATGATATAACTTACAATATAGTACAGAGGACAGTTCACTACAGGAACTAAGCCACAGGTCCCAAGACCTACACAGCACGAGTACTGCTCCAAGCCAGTACTCTGCCCAATGTCTCCAACGGTCTCTCCTCCCGAGACTCTCCAGCTCAGCTCTGCTCCCAGGCCAGAGCTCTGCCCGAATCTGCAGCAGCCTTCTCCCTGCTCAGAGCTCTGCACCCCAGCAGCAGCTCCGCTCGAAGTCTCTCAGAGCTCTGCACCCAGGCCAGGGCTCCGGCCAAATCTCCACTGCTCAGCTGTTCCATGGGTTTATATGGTGTCCAAGCACACCCCACAACCACGTGTACGACCTGACGCCTAGGTCTGACGCCGTCAAGAACAAAAGACCTCAGACGTAGGCGTGGCTGACAGACGTTTGCCAAGGCAAGGTGTGACCATATAATTGGTTAAATTAGGTCTCACAAGAGACCTCACAAGCCCAGCTGGACTACATCACATGGTTATGCTGCAGTTTTACAGCTGTAGTGTAAGCACGCCTCTAGTAAGACAGTGATGGAGTGAATGATGAAGTTTATCTTTTTTGGGCCACCCTGCCTTGGTGGGAAACGGCCTATGTGTTAATAATAAATAGAATCTCCAGCATCAGAGAGTTGAAATTTGGACTACATTAACCTAGAAAGCACTCACGGAGACGCAATAAAAATTAACTATTGGAATAACAACATCCAGAGTGAAAAACCTTAGACCATTCCTGCACTAAACCCCATACGCAATATACACGGTCATCCCACAAGCAAAATGACTACTTTAATAATGCTGTTTTTAAGCTGAAGTGTTATGTAATATCATTTTAGTCTTATTCCTCACAATCTTAATTATGTTGCTTCAAATACTAATAATTCACGGTAGTTCCTAATCTAGAGGAAGATACAGTTGTCAGCGTTGTTGTGATTCTTTGCGTCTTTTCTCATATTTGCGTTGGTTTAAGTAATGTAGAATTTCGAGACATGTGTCCCGTGGCTTGGTAGACTAACACTCTCGCTTCACACTCTTAGTGTTCGTGGCTCGATCCCCAGCAAAGGTGGAAACACTGGCCGTGTTTCTTTACACCTGCTGCCCCGTTCACTAAGTATTAAGTAGGTACCCGTGTGTTTGGAGTCAGGTGTGGGTGGCATCCTGGGGGACAAAACTGAAGGACCACAATGGAAATAAGACAAACAGTCCTCGATGATGAACTGACTTTCTTAGGTGTCTTAGGTGGATAACCTTCCTGGGTTAAACATGCTAACGAAATCTATATTCATGCATATCTCTTATCTATTACAGGTTTTGATAGTGGTGATGTATCTCTAGAGCTTCTTGGTATTATCCTCTCACAGACTGGTCTCAGACCAGGTCTCCTAAGATGACAAGAAAATATTACTGCATTAAGAACTATTAAGGAGCATGATCGACCTGTCATGTGTGTGAGTATTCACCTAATTGTTCTCATCTAATTGTGGTTGAAGAGGTCGAATCATAGCTCGTGTGTGTGTGTGTGTGTGTGTGTGTGTGTGTGTGTGTGTGTGTGTGTGTGTGTGTGTGTGTAACCATACCACAGGAAAGGGATAGAACCCGCTATCAGAGTCATAAAAGTCAAGATTCTGATCGTGGGTTCTTTCCCCGTCCGTGATATGATTTTGTTTGAAATCGTGTTGTTACGATTTCGTGAGCGTGTGCGTGTGTACTCACCTAGTTGTACTCACCTAGTTGAGGTTGCAGGGGTCGAGTCCTAGCTCCTGGCCAGCCTCTTCCTGGTCGCTACTAGGTCACTCTCCCTGATCCGTGAGCTGTGTGTTGTGTGTGTCTCCATCTGTTCCCGTCTCCCTCCTCCCTCTCTCTCTCTCTCTTCACTTTCTCTGTCTGTCTGTCTCTCTTTTTTTTTTTTTTTTACACAGGGTTTGACAAGGTTAAGGATCCCTAGCTTATTGACAGCTATATTACAGGTTAAGGATTCCTAACTTTATTGGCAAGCTAAGAGCTGTTACCTACATCAGCTCATTTGAAAGCATTTTTATTGTTATGAGACATACAAGTACGGGACAGGATAAAGTTGGAGCCATCTGTGGGCCAGCATTTTCATTTGATCAACTGACTTTATCTCGTTGACATCATTATGCTGTACGAATGTGTTCCATACTCGAGTCATCCTGGGTATGTATGATCTCAGATGGAGTGATGTTCTGGGAAGGGTACAGCCAGAGTGAAGTTGCTGCTTTCTGCCGTCTTGTGGCATAAAAGCTTGTTTCACGCTGTCCTCGAAGTGGATCCAAGTGTGGTATTTTGACAATATTGGCCTTGTACATAACAGTAAGGCACCCACATCCTCCTATGTTGAAGGCTCTGCTGAATGACAGATCTATCCAGGATGGGTCCAGGCGAGAGATGAGACGTCTTGCTCTGTTCTCTACTCTGTCAAGCAGTCGCAGATGAGAGGGGGGGCAGGCAAACAAGAAAGTGGAGCATACTCAAGGTGTGAGCGTACTTGTGCCTCGTACAGGATCTTGCAACCCCTACTGTCAAGCAGATGCGAGATACGGCGAAGTGCTGTAAGCTTCCTGGCTGCCTTGTTTGCAAGATTTACAACATGGTTCTTCATGGTTAGTTTGGAGTCAAATTTCACCCCAAGGATATCAACTTCTTCTCCAGGTGCCAACATCGTCCCTTCATCCTTACTACTGCACCAGCATTACCATCATGGTGCCTAGAGACGATCATCATTGCGTTTTCTCAGGTGCAAATTGTTACTTGCATCTATTTCCCCAAGCTGATAGCTCTCAGCTGGTGATTGAGTAGCTTAGAGCAGCTGGCATTTCTTCTCTTGGATAAGTGAATGTCAGTGTACAGTCGTCTGCATATGCATGTGATTTGGGATGAGATGAAGAAGGTCGTTGAAGTAGACATTCACATAACAGAGGACCCAGCACGCTTCCTTGTGGAACGCTTGCCCCAATAGGATGCCTTGCTGATTCCGTTCATTGAGGACTACACTTAGAGACTACCATGAAGGTAATCACTGAGGGACATAGCGTAGAGCCTGCAATTCCCAGTGCTTGAAGTTTTGCTAAGAGGCCCTGGTGCCACACCGGTCGAAAGCGCCAGCAATGTCCAGTGCTACCTCTCTCTCTCTCTCTTTGTCTCTGTCTCTCTCTGTCTGTCCTCTCTCCTCCCTCCCTCCCTCTCTCTCTCTCTCTCTCTCTCTCTCTCTCTCTCTCTCTCTCTCTCTCTGTCTCTGTCTCTGTCTCTCTCTCTCTCTCTCTCCCTCTCTGTCATGTGTATGTTGACGAGTCTGCGAACATGTATGAACAACTGCATGAAGAATAATAACATTTATTAAACCCCTTTATGTACACCTGTATATATCAAAAACACTAGAAATATTCTGAATTTTACTAGCAAGTTTCAGCAACATCTTAGATATTTGACCAAGTTATAAATAAAATCTTCAAGATTGATGGACTGCTTACTACGTCTTTACGTCTGCTGCTTCCATATTTATTGCCTGAACCAAACTGTAGAAGGTTACTGTGTAGGTTGAACGTTTCGACAATATAGATACCCTACTCAAGTGCAATAAATCTTGCCCAGTAGGTATAACATTACAGTAGATAGAGGTTCGAATCTCTCCGGTACGGCTGGAAAACATTAGGGACGTGTTTCCATAAGACACCTGCTGTCCCTGTCCCTGTTCACCTATCAGTTTTAAAATGGGTACCTGGGTGTTAGTCGACTAGTGTGGGTCGCCCTCTGGGACAAAAGTTACCTAATTTGCAGGATTATTATTATTATTGTTATTGTTATTATTGTTATTATTATTGTTGTTATTGTTGTTATTGTTGTTGTTGTTGTTGTTGTTGTTGTAACCAAAAAGAAGCGCTAAACCATAATTTGCGAGAAATGCTCAGCATAACGAGGAGCTTTCTATATAGTAGTATGTCATGATGTCAGCTATGGTCTGTATACCTTGTACATGTACTGGTAGTAAATAAAGATATTATTATTATTATATTGTTTTATTATATTATTATTATTATTATTATTATTATTATTATTATTATTATTATTACAGCGAGATCTATCATAAAAACTACATAATAACTCCATCACACAGGACTTTGTAAATGGTTCAAGTTGGACTCAAACATCGTGATCAGCTTCTCTCTCTCAAGTGCGAGTTATCTGCGTATTGTTCTACTCACGGAATTGTGCATTAGTGTTCATCATTAACACATGTGAACATATTTTTTCCGTGTCAGATTTCGGGCAAGTGGAAAGTAATTACGATTCCTGTGTGGTCTGACTTTAATGATATGGATGTTTATAGGAAGAGCAGAAGAGAAGATAAGGACATAATTGCAGTGAATCTCCATTGAATTTTTCCTCCGTAAGTTATACGTGTCGTAAGAGGCGACTAAAATGCTGGGAGCAAGGGCTAGTAACCCCTTCTCCTGCATGAATTACTAAATGTTAAAAGTAGAAAAACACTTTTGTTTCCTTTTTTTCGGGTCACTTTGCCTCGGTGGGAGACGGCCGGTGTCTTGAAACAAAAATGCTGTGAATAAAACTGAGAAATTAACGTACCACAAAAAAAATATGAAAAAAATTATACAAGAAATCAATTGTTAGGGATAGAAGTGAGGGATTTGTGATATCAGGCATAATTACTAGAGGGATAATTTGGTAAGCAGTTCTAATCTAATGGTTATAATTATATTCATGATTTTTAAGGGGTGCAGGTGTAATCCAGCAGAAGTTCTAACCCCGGCTGTGGGTCATCATTGTGACTAAGATCCACGTCAGGAAATACTTTTCCTATTTTCTGGCGAATCTTACCCAACCTATTCCAGAAATTAATTATTCTAAATTCGTATAAATATTTTTGACCAAGGTAACTCAATGTTTTACATTTGGTAACTAATGCTGTAAAATAAATGAAATGATTTGTTTTTGTCAGCACTTAAAAGTATCAGTGACTTACTTGATATTGTTGATAATATCAGCAAGAGTGACGATGATCATGTTCTCAGTGAGTTCCTCCCACAGCAGAAAATCTCCCAGTTCAGATCTCCTAATGAACATTGAATTTCCTAAACTGGTCACGAAGATGGGAACAGCGAGGAGTGGCGTGGCGTGGTAGATGGCTTCCTGCATGCTGAGTAGACCACCGTGTGTGATGAACACCTTCACGTTGTTGTGAGCTGTGGAACAGTGGTACAGATAGAATGATCAACACCATGGTAGATGGCTTCCTGCATGCTGAGTAGACCACCGTGTGTGATGAACACCTTCTCGTTGTTGTGAGCTGTGGAACAATGGTACAGATAGAATGATGAACACCTTCACGTTGTTGTGAGCTGTGGAACAGTGGTACAGATAGAATGATGAACACCTTACGTTGTTGTGAGCTGTGGAACAGTGGTACAGATAGAATGATGAACACCTTCACGTTGTTGTGAGCTGTGGAACAGTGGTACAGATAGAATGATGAACACCTTCACGTTGTTGTGAGCTGTGGAACAGTGGTACAGATAGAATGATGAACACCTTCACGTTGTTGTGAGTGTGGAACAGTGGTACAGATAGAATGATGAACACCTTCACGTTGTTGTGAGCTGTGGAACAGTGGTTTACAGATAGAATACTCACAAGAATGAGTTCTTTTTCTGGTGATCACTTGAATATATGAGTGTGAATAAGTGCGGGAAACAGTACAGGAAATGATTTTGTTTTTTAATTTTTGGAATCACGCATTTCATTACGTTTTCTTCACCCACCCTTGCAAGTTTGTCTGTCTGTCTATGTTTGTTTTGTCTGTGTTTGTCTATGTGTGTTTGTGTGTCTTTGTCTCTGTGTTTGTCTGTCTATGGCTGTGTTTGCCTGTCTCTGTGTGTGTGTGTCTGTCACTGTATATGTCTTTGTCTTTGCCTGTGTGTATCTGTCTTTTTCTCTTTGTATCTCTCTCTGTTTCTCTCTCTCTCTCTCTCTTCCCTCTCTCTCTCTCTCTCTCGTTATATTTATTAATGGTGGTACATGAAGTTCTCCATTACTACTTGTAGCAACTTAGTTCCTCCCCATTCCTGATTTCCCGTGTAGTTCCAGGCTTTCCCAGTCTGTTTCCATGATAATGTCTCCTCTGATCAACTTTGAATTAATTACGTGGGCTCTTTTTGCTACCTCTCCTTTTGTGCTCTGCATTATTCTGTTGTCATCACATTGGTCTCTTGCTGTTTAGTGGAGGGTTGTTATCACCACCATGAGATACCAAAGCTTGAGTGAGCTACTATATAATCATTTTCACCCTCCCTTTTATTCTCTACTCATTTCATAGCACCACTGGTTTCCTGATAAGCAGTGCTGTACCTCTAACTCCTCCCTTATAATTACTGCTCCAATCCTTAGGTTCCTGATTGTTTGGTCTTTTCACAAGGGTCAGAAGGATTGGTGTGGATGGTGCAGGTTGAGAAACAAGAGTGAGGCAAAGTTTATGGTGTATTTTTGCACTAGATAGGGATGTGATTGCATATTTATTTAAGAGTGGATTTAGGGTTGGGGCATAAGAGAAGTGAAGTTGAGGTGAGGTGAAGTTGTGAAGAAGGTACTCGCCCTAGGGAGAGGTTAGGTTTATGGGGAAAAAGAAGAGGTTAGGTTTATGGGAACAAGAAGAGGTTAGGTTTATGGGAACAAGAAGAGGTTAGGTTTATGGGAACAAGAAGAGGTTAGGTTTATGGGAACAAGAAGAGGTTTAGGTTTTTGGGAACAAGAAGAGGTTAGGTTTATGGGAACAAGAAGAGGTTAGGTTTATGGGAACAAGAAGAGGTTAGGTTTATGGGAACAAGAAGAGATGGTTGGCTATGGACTGTTTTGGGTTATTGCATCTGAGTGGAAAGTCAATGTAAAAATTGTTTTATTCATCTGTTTCAATGAAAACTTTATCATATCTCGCACCAGTTGGGTCGCCTGAGGTATATAATTTATATAATTTTATATAATTTTCTTTGCCTGTGTCCCCTCATTTGCCATTACCATTCCTGCAACTACATCATTTTACTTCCTTTTATTTTTTCCAATTAATTCTCAACTCCCTTAGATACTTTTCCAGGCTCTGTAGCTTTGCTTAGACAGCTGTTGACCTTATCTCACAATTCCAGGCTTTCTACAGATACATTCTGTACCTTCTCTATCTCTATCCGAAAAAAATCACTAAACTTTCTTTCCCACTCATCTTCCATCTTTTATGTAATCCCATCTAACATCAATTCAGTGTCCATCATCTCAAGTGCTTATTCTTCCTTATAGCTTCCCTTCTAGTTGGCTTTTAGGTTCTATTTCTCTGCTCCTAAAATTTCGTCTAGTGGGTGCAACAACTTCCTCAGATTGAAGTTTGGTACTGGTGATCAAGTGAATATGAAAATGGTACACAGTACCGACAGGTTGGTAAGACACATGTGCAACGTTAAGTATCTTTATTTCGAAACGTTTCGCCTACACACTAGGCTTCGAGTACAGAAGGTTAGCAGAAGCAATAGAGATGTAAAGACCAAGTAATCAGTCTTCAGAGTGATGGTGATGAACTGATTACATCGTCTACACATCCCCACTGCTTCTTCTAACTCTTCTGTAATCTACTGAAAAAACCTACGGTGTAGGCGAAACGTTTCGGAATAAAAGATAACTAACTGTTCCACACATGTGTTTACTTGCAAATTCGTGATAAAACAGTCCTGACTTGAAGACTGAGACACTTATGGCAATGTAGGGGAAAATCTTTATTGAAGAAACGTTTCGCCACACAGTGGCTTCATCAGTCAAATACAAAGCAGAAAGGTGTAAGGAGAAGATGAGTTGAGGTAATCAGTCCCTCAGCCTGGAGTCGATGTGTTCAGTCCATCAATCTTGTAGAAAGTACAGCACAGGGCCCGAAGAAGTGGCGTATATACTGTAGTAAGGTGAGGCGAAGCAGGAGGAGGCGGGGCCTTAGGGAAACCTTCCACTAGTCTAAGTAGGTCTTCGTCCAAAGGTTGGACAAATGTTGAATTCTTTGTAGCAAGATCCATGATGTTGCCACTGTGTGGCGAAACGTTTCTTCAATAAAGATTCCCATAGTGGCATAAGTGTCTCAGTCTTAACTTGTCGGTTTTAACCATTTATCACAGTCCCTGACTTTACTCATGTACAGGCAATGCTATACACATCACTGAGCTAAGTGTATGGACGTGTGCTCACCTAATTGTACTCACCTAACTGTGGTTGCAAGGGTTGATTCATTGCTCCTGGCCCGCCTCTTCACTGGTCGCTCCTAGGTCCCCTCTCTATCTCTCTCTCTCTCTCTTCTCCCCTCTCTTGTCGTACGTCTATTTACCTTGTCATAAAAACTCCAGTAGGTTTGTGACAGGATTTTCCTTCCTGGTTGTCGTATTTAAGCTTGTTACTTTCCAGGTGCTCCACTACTCTCCTCCTACAAGTCAGTGACACTGGTCGGCAGTTTAATGCCTCGTATCTAGCTTCAATCTTAAAAACTGGGACTACATTTGCTGCCTTCCATACCTCAGGTGTTGCTCAGGGTTTTAATGTGTGATTGAAGATTATTGTTTGTGGGACACACAGCATGTCTGCTCTCTCAGGACCCACGGAGAGATGTCCGGTCCCACCGCCGTTGACGTATCTAGTTCACCTAGCAGCATCTTCAAATCCTACTGTTGTATATACTGTGGGTTTAGCATTTGATGGGTGTACCCCACCACTCTGGCTTTCTGGTGTCCTTTCTGTCTCCATGTAAATAGCTCCTCACATACTTTCGGTCGTTTCTTGTGAACTCCCCACCTTCCTTCCTCAGCCTTGACTGTTGTTTTCCTCCTGATGTGGCTATAGAACAGCTTCGGGTCACACTTGATTTCGATGCTATGTCATTTTCGTATTACCACTGGGCATCCCTCTTATCTGCGCATATTCGTTTCTGTGTGTGGTGGGTGCGCTTATATGTATTGATGATTTGAAGTTTATCTGAAAAGACATACACAAGATATTGCTTGCAAACAGTCATTCTGAAAAAAATATTGAACTTCCAAGTGCTTTCGGGATTTGTCAGCATATTTTATAGTGTTTCACATGTGTGATACAGCCTGTTAACTTTGATTTTATTTGCAAGATATTACCTGGAATCTATTATATTTTCTACAATGAAAATAATAAATGATCAATACGCAACCACTTCAAATTTTAGGAGATTTAAATACCCGCTATAATTATTGGACAGCAACAAGCTAAAAGAAGATAAGAAACTCGAACAATTAACATAGGTGTTCCCAGAATGATTCAGTCATATTACATAGTAATTATAGCACTATAGTTTGACTTCATAGATCTTTAGATAGAATGAGGGAGATAGTATGACAAAGGAATCGTAAGATAATTAATGTAAATAAGCGACAGTCGTCCAGTGAAAACAAACTCGATGAGAGTAAGACACATGTGCAACATCTGGGTATCTTTATTGTAGACGTTTCGCCATCCAGTGGCTTTATCAATACAAATTCTAGGACATAACTTGAAGACAGCAGAACTATGTACAGAAGATGAGGTAATCAGTCCCTCAACCTAGGAGTAGGTGCGAACAGCACCATAGTCGTGGAGATTCTGAAGCAGAAGAAAGAATCCTGGCGCTTATATAGTAACGTCAGGTGAAGCAGACGAGGGCAAATTCACTGGTAGGCGGGATTCCCCAGTGGAAGTAGGTCCTTCCCAAAGAGATGGGTTAGTTTTAGTAGTAGTTGTCGTAGTCGTGAAGGTTATGTACATGTCCTCAGAATTAAGATTCCATGATGTTGCAGTGTCTGACAAGTTGTGTACGAATGGTATATAATACCGACAAGATGAGAGTAAGACACATGTGCAACATCTGGGTATCTTTATTGTAGACGTTTCGCCATCCAGTGGCTTTATCAATACAAATTCTAGGACATAACTTGAAGACAGCAGAACTATGTACAGAAGATGAGGTAATCAGGATTCTTTCTTCTGCTTCAGAATCTCCACGACTACGGTGCTCTTCGCACCTACTCCTAGGCTGAGGGACTGATTACCTCATCTTCTGTACATAGTTCTGCTGTCTTCAAGTTATGTCCTAGAATTTGTATTGATAAAGCCACTGGATGGCGAAACGTCTACAATAAAGATACCCAGATGTTGCACATGTGTCTTACTCTCATCTTGTCGGTATTATATACCATTCGTACACAAAACAAACTCGATTGGTAGAGTACTAAGCTCACATATTAAGGTCCATGGTTCGATCCCCAGTACGAGTGAAAAAATTAGTACGTGTTTCCTTAGGACACCTACTGTCCCTGCTCATCTAGCAGTAAAATATGTAATTACTGTTAATCGATAGATGTGGGTCGCACCCTGGGGAAAAAACTGACCTACGTTGCGGGAAATACTCTTCATAACAAGGGGCTTTCTATATAGTATGTCATTGATGTCACTTGAACATGTACTTACAGACATAAAGGTCACTATTATTATTATTATTATTATTATTATTTCTATGATTAGAATGTTAAATATCAATTAACATTAAACTGAATTTCCACTCACCAAGAATATCTTGCTGAGGAAGCCAGTTGCTAATCATCACATTATCGGGGACGTTCTCCAAGTCTCCCTCGTATTTCCAGATGACTCGCTGAGGCAACCTGCCGAAGGCCTGGAGGAAGATTTCCCGGTACTGGACTGGCACAGTGTTGCCTTGAGCAACTGAACCCAAATTAAAGTAGATGACACCAGTAGATCCTGCTCCAGTGATCCATGACTCCAGTTCCTGTTGAACAGAGATTTGTTATTCATTCATTCATTCATTAGAGATTCGCCGGTACTTCCGGCCCGGGTCTTTTCCATATGGCGACCCGGCTGTGGCCCCCGGTTGGGGGTGTCGTTCATCTTTTTCTTTCTTCTGTCTTCTTTCTTGGGCCCTCCGGCTGGAGGGTAACATCATCTTCTCTGTTGCGGCGACTCCCCGGAGGGGAGTGTCATCTCGCTTCTCATCTTCATCAGCAGGCGTCCACTTGGGCTTCATCAGCAGGCGTCCACTTGGGCTTCATCAGCAGGCGTCCACTTGGGCTTCATCAGCAGGCGTCTCTAGGGCCCAAGGTCTTCGGGCACTTGTTGCCCCATCAAATTGTTGGTTGTGTGGCATGGGCTCTAGGTAAGTTCAGGCGTTTACCTAGTAAACAGGCACAAGCTCCATTGGAGATTTGTGATGAGAATGTTGTAGGAACTTTTATCAAAATTTATATTTGTCAAATTTGAATAAAATATATAACTTAGATCAAAATATAGTTCAAGAAACTGTATAGATGCAAATGAGAGTTTCCAGACAATTCTCGATTAAATGATGACTAATCATTACATTAATTTCAAGACCTACACTCCATCACTGTTTGTGGAGCGAACCGAGATCTCCAAGTGCTTATGACCTTGTCCAGCACCACGACACTCTCCAGCACCACGACACTCTCCAGCACCACGACACTCTCCAGCACCACGACCCCTCTCCGCACCACGACACTCTCCAGCACCACGACACTCTCCAGCACCACGACACTCTCCAGCACCCCGACACTTTTCCAGCACCCGACACTCTCCAGCACCACGACACTCTCCAGCACCACGACACTCTCCAGCACCACGACACTCTCCAGCACCACGACACTCTCCAGCACCACGACACTCTCCAGCACCACGACACTCTCCAGCACCCACGACACTCTCCAGCACCACGACACTCTCCAGCACCACGACACTCTCCAGCACCACGACACTCTCCAGCACCACGACACTCTCCAGCACCACGACACTCTCCAGCACCACGACTCTCCCATATACCACGACACTCCAGCACCACGACCATCCCACCACCACGACTCTCCCCATATACCACGACACTCTCCAGCACCACGACACTCTCCAGCACCACGACACTCTCCAGCACCACGACACTCTCCAGCACCACGACACTCTCCAGCACACGACACTCTCAGCACCACGACACTCTCCAGCACCACGACACTCTCCAGCACCACGACACTCTCCAGCACCACGACACTCTCCAGCACCACGACACTCTCCAGCACCACGACCATCCCCAACACCACGACTCTCCCCATATACCACGACACTCCCCAACACCACGACTCTCCCCATATACCACGACACTCTCCAGCACCACGACACTCTCCAGCACTACGACACTCTCCAGCACCACGTCTCTCTCCAGCACCACGACACTCTCCAGCACCGCGACTCTCCCTATATACCACGACACTCTCCAGCACCACGACCATCCCCAACACCATGACTCTCCCCATATACCACGACACTCTCCAGCACCACGACCATCCCCAACACCACGACTCTCCCCATATACCACGACACTCTCCAGCACCACGACACTCTCCAGCACCACGACACTCTCCAGCACCACGACCATCCCCAACACCACGACTCTCCCCATATACCACGACACTCTCCAGCACCACGACACTCTCCAGCACCACGACACTCTCCAGCACCACGACACTCTCCAGCACCACGACACTCTCCAGCACCACGACACTCTCCAGCACCACGACCATCCCCAACACCACGACTCTCCCCATATACCACGACACTCTCCAGCACCACGACCATCCCCAACACCACGACTTTCCCCATATACACGACACTTCCAGCACCCACGATAATCCCCCAACACCACGACTCTCCCCATATACCACGACACTCTCCAGCACCACGACCATCCCCAACACCACGACTCTCCCCATATACCACGACACTCTCCAGCACCCGACCATCCCCAACACTAGGGACTTCTCCCCATATACCACGACACTCCCCAGCACCCGACCATCCCTACACCACGACTCTCCCCATATACCACGACACTCTCCAGCACCACGACTCTCTCCATATACCACGACTCTCTATAACACCACGACCCTCCCCAACACCACGACCCTCCCCATATACCACGACTCTCTATAACATCACGACCCTTCCCAACACCACGACCTTCCCCATATTCCACGACTCTCTATAAACCACGAGCCTCCCCAACACCACGACCCTCCCCATATACCACGACTCTTATAACATCACGACCCTCCCCAACACCAAGACCTTCCCCATATTCCACGACTCTATAACACCACGACCCTCCCCAACACCACGACCTTTCCCATATACCACGACATCTGCATCTGCAACCTTGCCCTTTCCCACATAATACGACCCTCCACAACACCATGACCCTTCCCATCACCAGGACCATCCTTTTATACCGCGACTCTCTCCAACAACAAGACCCTCCCCTCTCAGTAGTAGTACCAGTTCCTAGTAACCAGTTACCAGTAACCACTGTACCAGTAGATGGCTCACTACCAACCGTCTCTGCGTGAATCACTGACTGTATTCATATTGCTGCTGACCATAGCAGGATTTCAAACACCCCCTCACATATGGACACTGTGAGTTAGTCAGTCTAGTCAGGGAGCCAGAGAGAGGCAGGTTCGGCTGTTGGCGCTTTTCCACACTTCCGTTATAATATACGTACCACCAGCCTACGTGAGTATTTTTACCCTATCCACGTTTTCGAAACCCACATGACAAATGGTGGCAACGGTGTGGGAGCGTGGATTTAAGGGTATTTCAAGACGTTAGAAGACTGTTTGTGGGGAGCCGGCAGGTCAAAGGTGAACTGTAGCTAGCCGCTTACCCTCACTCACCACCTCCACCCTGTGTACTCCAGCCTGCAAGCCTGTTGCAGCCGTTTTTCAAGCTTCCTGGCTTAGTTCGTGTGCTAATTGCTTCAATCTCCGAGGGGTTGACCCGGATTTTGCAATTAAGCCAGTCAGTAAGCCAGACTGTGGAAGTGAACGCTAGTCAGCCTGCCTCAGCCTACCATCCAGCCTGTCTCCTGTCATCCACCTGCTCCTTCATGCTGTGTGCACCGTTACACGTCTTCCAGTCAGCCATTCTCGTGGGTTAAGCCAGTCAGCCAACCCAGCTTCTAACCCAGCTGAGAGAGAGAAGTAAGCCACGCAAGTTCCTTTGAAGTATTGTCTCATATATCGCTTGTGCTTGGATGCTGGTAAGAGTGGTCTTCATCATTCCTGTGGCATTGTGATTTAGTTAAGCCACCTTGTGCGTGGTGAGAAGTGCGTGGCAGTGAGAGCGCACAGGGCCAGCTTGTTCCGCTGCCCCCACATACCACCCAAGCCCCCGCCACCACCCAATCACACCACCACCCGCCACTCTTCACCTCATCTACCTGTGGCTATTTGCACCCTTGTACCGGGTCCTAATACTGTTTTGGCTCACATAATTGGTCAAGAGATTGTAGCTGAGCGCCAACGATAAAACCAGTTATGTGAGTTCACCGAGAAAGCACATTTCTTCCGACAACAGTGAGTGTAGGAGGCGTCAGTCATCACCGCGCAGGACAACCTTCGACAACCTTCCCCTGATCACCAGTTACTCCATCTACTACTCCAGACTTCAGTGATAATTTTCTGTTTAGAGACATTTTCTTGCATTTAAAGACATTTGCGTGTGTGAGACATTTACAGTGAATTTCTTGTGTACTCTAAGCCTTGTATTTTCAGTGTAGACCCAGTGTTTCTTTGACTCGTTATTTTTCAGTGTTTTCGCTCATCTCATATCTTTTTATCTGTGTTTTATTTTATGCTACTCTCTGTCTGTAGTAACTATTATTGTGTAGTGTACCAGTCAGTCACTCCGTGTGAAGTAATTCATTTTTTTTATCTTGTATTCTTTCAGCATTGTATTCTCCAGTATTTGTCATTGTATTTCATGCAGTGATATTCACCCCAGTTTACCAAATTATCCATTTATTTCTATGTGTGTCTTTTTTCGTATGCCAGCAGTGTCTCATTCCTCTAATTTTTTCGCAGACTGTGTACCATTATTTTTGCCAGCAATTTTGTCGTATCAGTCACAGCAAGATTTTGTTGTAAGAATATACTAAAATAATGAATAAGTGATTAAGTGTTGTGTGTCCTGTCACTTGTAAGTGTTGTGTGCCCCACCACTTGTAAGTGTTACACTTCCCGTTTTGTTTCTTGTTTTATTTTTATTCATATTTTTCATATTTCTTTGAACAAATTCACTCTTAGTGTAATTTTCTTTTTAACGTAAAGTGTTTTCTTTACTCTGTTTGAGTAAATTGTTTTGTCTAATTTACAATTAAGAGTTAAAGTGTTCAATCAGTTTTTCTTCATATTTTTGTTTTATTATTTAACCAACATTTTCCCAGTGTAACTTTATTACTGCAGTGATTATTTCTACACCTTATTTTGTTGCACTTGTTCTGCAGTGAATTATTTTGTTGCACTTGTTCTGCAGTGAATTATTTTCTTTTATTGATATTTTTATGCATTATTATTCTCAGTTTATTATTGCACCTTGTTTTTCATTTTATTAATTTTCCTGATGTTGTCTTTGCATTATATTTTAATTTTGTTTATGCATTCTTAGAGAATATTAAATTTCCCAGTTATCTCTCGTTGCATACAATTTAGTAATTTTATTTTATACTTTTTACATTGATTTAAAATTTTATTAGTTAATTCCTTTATTAGCAAGAGTACAGACAGCTCATTTTGCATTTAATTCAGTCTCCAGTAATATTTTTACTTATAAATGTAAATGTAATTTTTTTATCTTGTCCAGCAGTCCTTTACATTGAGTTGTCCTTCCTCTTGCAGTGTATCTTAGACATTTTTTTTTATTACTTCTGCAGAA